GGCTATGGCCGCCGAACACAGTCTCTACCATCAGCCTCACTCTTCCTCACCCTCACATGCACGCACGCACGAGGATCTCCCTGAATGTCCACGCTGCACAGACACACACACTCTGTATACCCTGTCTGCACCAACAGCTGGGCGGCTATGGCCGCCGTCGTCTTCCTCCTCCTAGCTATGGCCGCTGGTGTCCCTCTCTCGCTGGTTCGCTATGGCCGCTGTCTTCTTCACAGCACACTTCTTCTTCGGGCACCTGCAGTCCTCCACGCACAAGATATCAAGGCAGCTCTTCCGCATGGCACACAGGCGAATGAATGAATGGCTGGACGCTGCCTCTTTATTTATACTTCTTTGAGGTACCCTGGCCTGCCTCAAAACGTGTGGGCCTGGGCCAAAACGTGTGCCCCAGGGAAGTTTCCAGACGTTTGGCCTTCTGGGCCAAAACGTGTGAGACCCACAGTGTGCTCCAGAACCTTCCCCACGTGCAGCCCCTACCCTTGGTACTTGCTGGCTGGACTGTCCTACGACCTTCTAGACTATACAGACCTACAGACAGATTCCAGTCCTCAACAGACTTCGTAGAGACTTCTAGAACAGACTTCCTAAGCCTATCGGTAACAGAGCTGCGAATCTCCAGGTCTAGGGATCAACTCCTACTCAGCACACATGGTCTATGTACAGGTATAGGGTTGGTCTAGGGATCGAATCTCACTCAGCACACGGGATCAATGTACAGGGTTGTGGCACAGGTCCAGGGATTGAATCTCTGTGACTGCAACGTCAGGTCAACTGGGTGAAACCGTTTCAAGGAAGAAGTCCGAAGAAGAAGAAGAAGAAGAAGAAGTCTGGAGTCTGAAGAAGAAGAAGAAGAAGACTGAGAGGGGAGGCAGAGAGTCGGGGGAGATGGCGAGTAGCCTCAGGCCTAACCTGAGACTGCAAGATGGCGCCTTGGCTGGTGCGGGAGCTGGGCTGAGCCGCTGAGAGCTATGGCGCTCACGGTACTCTAGGCTCCGTACTGCCCTCCAACCTGCTGGAATGGCCGCTAGACCGGCCTAAGTACCGTTCGGCGGCCGGTCGGCCTCAATGCTGCCTTGACGCACCTTGATCTGAATCGTCCAACTTGACGATTCAGATCAGACCGGCGGGCGGCAGCCTCAAGGGCGCCGCCAGGCCCAAACAGTAATGTCGTTTGGGCCTGTACCTCGTCTGCTGCAGGAAAGGCCAACCGGTGCCTCGAAGCGGCCTACCGGGAGAAAGGTCCGGCCTTTAGCTGGGCCGGCCTAAATACCCCTTAGCCTAGTGGTTGGGTCCGAAAGGGACCCGTGTGGCATCAGCATGTAACACTCCAGTAGCAGGTAGGCCGGTACCGCACCCAGTAGCAGTAGATGGGCCGGGTACTCGAGGCCGAGCAGAAGAAGACAAAGTGGGCATTTTTAGAGGCCCGGCAGCGGTAGGCTAGGTCTAGGCCGGTACCAGTCCATCCAGTCTGAGTCTAGAGCCTGTACGGGCAATATCAGAGTCTGCAATGATGTTTCCCTCCGAAAAGGAGGAGGTGCCGGTTGCTTGGGAGGCTGAGCGGCTTGGAAGTCACCGCCCAGGAGGCAAGTAGGCCGCTATATCAAGAGGCTGAGGGAAGAGCCCGGCCTCATTCTTCAGTGTGCAAGTTTGGCGACACGCTGCTGGAGCGCTGGCTGGAGGAGCGCTGGCTACTACAGTGCTGCTGGGAGGAAGAAGCCGGGAGCTTCCACCTTGGCTATGGTGGAGCTCTACCGGTAGGAGGAGGAGGGAGAAGAGAACCAAGGAGGAGAGTAGCGAGGTACTTTCCTGGCTATGGTGGACACCATCTTCATTACCTTGTTAGGCGCTGCATCTGGAAGGCCCCAGTTTGGGTAGTGCCGCACCAAGGAAGCTCGGGACAGAGTCAGGCATGGCGGCTGACTGGGCAGCGGCATAGCTGCCTGATGTTGACCTTGGGGCAGGAGGGCAGCGACATAGCTGCTTTGGGTTGTCCTTTGGACAGGGGGGTAGAGCCCTCAGTACTCCGCCATAGCCTCGGCCTACATGAAGAGGAAGAGGAAGGGCGGCCATGGCTATGGTGGACCTCATGTTGTGCCTGCAGTGGAAGTGGGATTCGGACATTGATTCTGGTTCAGCCATTCAACATTATTATTGTTATTTCTTGTTTGAATAAGACGGGAGGAGATAAGCAGGAGGAGATTGGTTGGCGAAGAAGAAGAGCATTATCTTTGGTCTATGCTGGAGTACATCATCTTCTTCTTCTTTCTTACTTCTTCTTCTTCTTCTTTCCCTCTCTCTCCTCTCAAGTTCATTCATTTCTTTTTGCAATTGGACGGCATTGTACTTTCTGATGAATGTATACTTCGAAATTGGCCAGGATCGTAACAACTGACAGTTATTTTTTGTGTTTATCTGACTTATCACCATTTTCATCGCTTTCCTTTGTGGTTCAGTATGTGCCTGGTTGTTCATGCCTGTATGAAGTCTAATGATCAACACAAAGTTGATTGGTATGTCATATATGCAACTGGAGACGGCACGAGGCCTGTGTTCCTATCAACATCGTTCAATTTTCAGTTCGATACAGAGTAAATTAAAGACCAGAAAAGTGACTGTTAAGCACAGTTGCGATTCTCCTAGGACTGTCCACCTGGCAATATGTAACCTACCTGCTTTACCCGACCAGTAGGTTTTGTACAAGGGTTCCACTCTCTGAGGCACGACGTACGCCCGCTTCGCTTCACTGAATGGATGCCTGCAGAGAATGCGCTGCCCGATCTGTAAAAGAAAGGTTAACAGAACATCGAAGAGATCACACACAGTTGTTATTACCTGCACCCTTTAGATACAAAGGAGCCCGGAACCTGTTTGTTAAGCGTACGGGCAACAACAGAACATTGACTAATGTGCTCTCTCTCTCTCTCTCTCTCTCTCTCTCTCTCTCTCTCTCTCTCTCTCTCTCTCTCTCTCTCTCTCTCTCTCTCTCTCTCTCTCTCNTCTCTCTCTCTCTCTCTCTCTCTCCCCCTCTCTCTCCCTCTCTCTTCCTCCCTCCGTCCCTCCCTCCCTAGATCTCTCTCTCTGTGCACTGCCACCACTAAACGCCTAGGATTTTGCTTCCGTGCATCTGCCCCTCAGGCTTATTGAACTTTGTTCCTATCATTTCTTTGCTGGAAACACATGCCTTTGATCTCTGCGCCTCAGTGGTTATTGATGGTCTTGCTACTTTCAATCCCATCAGATTGTTTTCCAAATGCGTTCCACTATTCACTTCCTGAATGCCAGTTTCAGGCGTTCTTAGAGTCTTCTGAAAGTCTGTAGCAAACAGAATTGGACTCAGAGAAGAGGGAAGCTAAAACACAGACGGATTGCACGAGAAGCATGTATAACATGAGACCCAAGGGTATCAGTGAATCAAAGGGACCTCCAGTTTGCACACCACACCCCTCAGCAAGCTCTATATGGCACAGTGTAATGCTCTGCAAGGGAAATCCACACTGGTTCTGCGTTTGAGTGCGCAGGTGCCCCTAATGCCCGCATTGCGCATCACCAGCAGCCTGTAAGACTTTGGTAGGAAAGCTGGGACAAGAAGTTGAAAATATGAAGTCTGCACAGATGATATCACCTATCTACTACCCACTCTATTTCATTGTCAAGTGACTCTGTACCTTACGAGGCATGAAAAGTGCATTTCACCAGCACTTCAACAGCTTGTCGAACTTCTGTTCGATGGCAAACCAGGAGTGTATCCAACCTGGCTCATAGCACACACATTACGATTATCTTGGATGAATGAGGACTGGAAAGCATTGAAATACATTCAGGGAACCCCTATTCCTTGCATTACCAGAAGGTAGCAAACCAGCACGGGGCCCTGCTGTTGTTCCAGGAGGTGGACCTTGAGGCTAGAAAGCACAAGAACTAATGCCAGAGCTTGTTCTGCACATTTGGCCCCGATACCTTTGGTGGGCAGTCTGTTTCTGCCATCAGCAGGTCAAGGAGAGCATAGCCTTCTTTTCCATATATCCTGTAGCCCCATTTCTTGCCGGGAATGGTCACCTGCCAGACAAAGCCCCCAAAACTGACCGTGTCAGATTTCCGTCAATATGGAGGACTCTGTCGTCATGTTGTACTTCCTCACATATCCACACACCCTAAGAGATTCTCAAAGCGTCCGAGGAGGTGATCGAAGAAACAGGCAATGTCACCTTGATTTGTTATTGAGATGAATGGAAGCAACAGTTAAGCATTCCACTTCCCCTCCATGTCCCTGTACAATAAGCATCACCACTTTTGCTAGGTTTGAGTTTGTCCTATCATTCCAACATGAAGAAAACTGTAACTCGAGCCTTTTCAGCTGCCACTCCCTTTTGACAAGCCCATGCCGTGCACCATTTTACAGGGGAGTTGGTGCTTGGTTCACCCTACCGGCCCACCTCAGCCAGCTGCCCCGGCAGGCAAGGCAGGGTCAGGTACGCAACAATTTCTGTAGTAGGGTCCGGAAGAGTGGTGGTCTGAATGGAATGCAACAAAGATACTGCCAGGGTAGCATGGAAGCAGTGCACAATTCTCCATCAGCCATTTGTGTTCCTTAAAAACTTTTTCCTTGCTTCTTTTTTTCGGGGAGGGGGTGGGGAGGGCGTGGGAGAAAGGGGTTGTTGTGGGAGTTTAACTTCTCTTTCTCCAGGCTTTCCTGAAGTACTGAAAAGAACCACCAAGAGAACATACCAAAGGAGTAGAGAAAGCTTTATATCAATGTTAATGTCAGTGCCCATACAGGTCTGTGTCAAGTTCGGGTTTCTCTCTCTTCTTAACAAAAACAGGGCCCGGAGGCACGGGCTCCGTTCTATTCTGTGGAACATCAGCCCAGCTCCTGACACTACTGTTCCACTAGCAGGTCTTGGACACGTCGCAGAACACAATGGCTGAAGGAGGCCCTGAACAGCATTGATTGCTCCTTTGTGAGGATACATGTCTTGTTTCCTTCTTGGATTCCTCTCAGCCATGTTCAGGGTACCACATTGTTGATGACAACTGGAATCTTTCAGCACCGTGATGGAACTCACTGATGCCACTGCTCTGATATTCCCTTCGCTGTTCATCTGTACTCTGCTCCTTGAGCTGACAGGTTCCAGCTGGCCTCCCTGGAATTGTGCACTATGTTCCACCAGATGTGGTTGTTGGCTATGTGGGCAATTCTCTCCTTAAGGATCCACATCTTTGTAGCAAGTTTTTGTGGTTGTTTTTAGCCATAGTCCAAATGCTGAGCCACATGCACCAGATTGAAGTGTTTAGTCTGGTTCCATCCGGCGGTCATAGCCTCCGGTGACAAAGAAGACCAAGTTTTTGTGTTGACTGTCAAGCCTCTCTTGGACTTCGTATCTCCTGTGTGTCTCACTTGAGTGTGATGTGATTCGAGACTTGTGCTAAATGTTCCATGCATGGTGGGCTCATTGCATTTCGTCACTTTCCTTTCTTTCAGGCATCCTTGTTATCACTTCTTGCAGCTGCCCTTTTACTGTGCCTGTCATGTAGAAAGCTTGCGATGTTGATTGTGTCTGAGCACAAGCTGCCCACATTCCCGTGTCCCGTAACGGCCCATTTGCACGCAATGCGACAACAAAATTGGTTGCAAGCGACCAAAAGGACTTCGACTGTTGACAGTTGGATTTTTTTTTCTTTCAGTCACTGAACTGCCTTTTCTGGCCGTGTTTGGTTTGGGGCGCCGTCACTGAACAGCCTTTTCGGGCCGTTTTCTTCTTGGGGTGCTGTCACTGAGCACCCTTTTTGGCCATCCCCAAAACTGACGTTTCTTGGGACGTTCGTTGCCGAGTTGTTATGGGCTCATGCAACAAAGGTCACTGAATTTGCGAACAGTTGATCATGCAGCTTCCAATGCCACCAACACAACGTTTTGGTTGCATCTGTATGGTTCTTTAGACAACGGACACACAATTGCAATCGTCTGATACCCCAATTCCAACAGCCACGATAGCCTGCATGCGGTCTGGAGTTTGTACCCAGTCACAAGTTGCCAATTTTTATTTTGTATTGATATACTGACCTGGAAGATGATTTTGATGAGCATCAATGGTCATCCGTAAAGTCACACGGGAGATTAACATGCATTGTCCGATGAAATGGTATTAGAAACTAGAAACGATCATCTTCATTTGGACTTTGCGTGATGGACATGAATGGCCATCCATAATTCATTGCATGACCATGAAATGCATTGCAAATGTCATTTAGAAATGCTCATGTTTATTTGGAGTTTGGAGGTTTAAACTCTAAAGGAACCAGTAGACAGGTTGAACTTTGAACCTTTGTGGGATCGGCTGAGATCTTGATGCGAGGTTGGCCGTTGATCTCTACAAGTTTGTATACACATCCGAGAGCAGGTTGTTTGAAACAAGTTACCAAATGTGTCCCTATCCCGTAAGCATCAATAGAATGCCCCTGCATTCCCATGCCAAACCAACCAAACAGACATGCCAAGGAATGGGGTAAGTTACCAATAAGTATCTCCCTTGTGGCTCCATGGTACACACGTAAAGCTATTGGTTGAGAGGTCAGGAGTGCAAATCCAGTCAAGGTATGCCAAAAGAAACCAAGAGTGTAAATCCAAGAAAAGGTGCAGCAAGAACAGTGTGTAATACTGTGTATGCCAAAGAAAACAAAGGGGCAATTCCTTTCGGGGCCTTATGAAGTTTTGTAATGACAAACTTGCCCTCATCAGAATCTCTTCCAGAGATCCAGGTGCAGATTACGCACCTGGACTGGTATGTGGCCACATACGCTCTGACACCTGGCTTGCTGCAAGGGCATATACATTCTGAGTCTCCTAAAAGAGGCAACTTGGTCATTGAGAATTTGCAGGCCGGAAGAGCAAATGTTCGCATGCTCTGCATAAATCCAAACATGTCCCGATGTTGAGAAGTAAAGTGAGGCATGTTTGCAAGAGGTTGGCAGTGTGTGTGGCATAGAAAGAAGAGTGTAGGAGTTGGTGATACTTGTTCATCATCCACTTCCTAATAAACAGACGTGCTTTGCTGCACTGAACTCAATGCTTGTACTGGGACCACCAGCTCTCATGCCATGTCCAAAGTCCTCACGCAAGAATTTCCAATAGTCCATTCATCATAAATCACCGCTCCCTTTTCATCACCAGCCTCTAGGCACAGGACGGTTTCTATGGACGGAAGTGAAAACTGCAGCCGCCAGATCAGCCATTCATTAACCAGATGACAATAAGAGGCTGTGTAGTAATACACAGGTTGCAAAATGGGGTTGTGGTTTAAGGATCCACTTCTGACATGCTTTAGCACAGTTCAGTGTGCTTGATTAATGGGCCAAGCTCACTGGTGTCATGCTCTTCCCATTGGAGCACGTACATGCCCTTAATTCCGCCCAGATTCATGTTTCTTTTTTCCCTCAAGAGGGCTGCACCCCGCTCTGATTCATGGTCTTCAAGCACAAGCATAGTTCAAGTGGCACCTGGCCCTGAGTACAGTAACTGCAATCAGACTCGTCTTCAACTTCACTTCCAACATGCATACATGCAGGTGCTGATGGCAAAACAACTTGCTCAAAGTAGGATCAGCAATAAGAGTGAGATGGCGCAGTGCGCCCACACAGAAAACTCAGAGATATGGCCTTCAGCCAGGGACTCGGCTCAAGTCAACTTGTCACATCTTGCGGCTATGGCGTCTGAACGCCAGTCTGAAATCCCCACCTGCACACTGTATCCACCATCAGACACACTCCCACTCACTCGCTGTTACATACTCCAATGAGTATGGGCAGAACCAAGAATCAACCAATATAGGATGAGTTTTTATGCAGTGGAAGGCTTATAACGAACTGACTCACATAGACTGACTCACATAGACTGACTCACATAGACTGACTCACATAGACTGACCTACATGGCATCACTCCACACACATACAATCATGAGATGGTGGGGTCTGGGTCATGCATAGAAGATACCCAGATCCCGTACACACATGCACAGATGAAAGGTGGGAGGAGAGACGAAGGAGGTAGGAGGTAGATCACACYGATAGGTCACAAGCTAGGGTCCGGTAGGTCTCCGAAGTAGTAGTCCAAAATGTCATACAACAAGATCAAAATGTCGAGGACCAAAGGTCACCAATGTCGGAGATAACCGAGTCCAGATGTAACCGGTGTCCAACTGTGATGCAGCCGAGTATCAAC